GGTGGGCACCAGAGACTCTCGCGCAGACAAATCTACTCCCACTTTTGCTTCTGTCTTTTTTTCCTTGTGAGTTTCAAAGGCGGCGGCCAGTAGTAACGGGAATAAAGAGCGTAGAGGGGGAGTGGGAGGGGCTTAACGCACGCGCGCAGGGTGAGCCGTCAGAGGATGGGGAGGAGAGGACGGTAAGAGAGTCAATCACGAGGTACGTGCGTCTATTGATTTTTGGGACGCACGCGAAACGCTCGCACTCGGCTCTGGGTTGACAAGCCTGCGCTCGCAGAACTCGTCTTGAAAGGCCAGTTCTCAATAAGGTCGAAACACAGAACGTTCTCTCTTTGGGTTGTGTTATAGCTCTTGCAGAGGCGCCAAGGGGGCATAGAACGACAAACTCACAAGCGGTCCTAAGACAGTTAGATGGGGAAACAATAATGGCGTCAGAGCTGCTGTCGTTCCTGGCTCTACTGAGTCGGAACATGACAGATCAAGTCAGATCATACATTGTTTCACACATGCATGTCGCCAGTGAGGCTGGACAGGAGAGCTTTCTACTGACTTGTCTTATTCCCTCACTTTGGGCATGCAGCATAAACGAAAGCACAAGTGTTTGTGGAGCTTGTTCGTTATTACGTGAACTCTGTTCAATAGATTTAGACTGATGCTGTGTGTGCAGCTTTGTCTTCGTCATGCCGGCAAGATCGCTGAGAAAAACTTCATAGAAGAAGAGAAGGAACAGCTGTTCAAAGGGGAAAGGGGGAAGTGTATAAAGAAATTCAAGGAAAGAGAGAAGAGAGAGAAAGAAGTAAAAAAAGATGGAGGGAGAAAGAGAGGGGGGGGAGAGAGAGAGAGAGAGAGAGAGAGAGAGAGAGAGAGAGAGAGAGAGAGAGATAGAGATATTGAGAGACGGAGAGGGGGTTAGAAGTTGTGGGACACAGGGATAGAAAAAGGACAGGCCAATAATCATACTGCTCTAAAGTTTCATAATCAGACGGGTAGATAGATCGATATATGGACAGATTGACAGATAGATAGATAGATAAATAGATAGGTAGATAGATAGATAGACGGATGAATGTATGGATGGATAGATGGATGGATAATGGATGGATGGATGGATGGATGGATGGATGGAAGGATGGATGGTTGGATGGATGGATGGACGGATCATTGATGGATGGATGGACGGATGGATGGACGGACGGACGGACGACGGAGGGATGGATGGATGAATGGATGGGTGGGTGGATGGATGGATGGAGGCCAATGTAAAAAGTGAATTTCGGCTCAAATATGTTTCTATGCAAAGAATGATACGTAAACACGTGGGCAGTGTACAAAGACAGTTAAACTCAAAGCCCACCAAAAGAAAAGAGAAATCATAGAGGAAATAAAACTAAGAATCTGAAACAATCGATGAGCCTCGAATGAACAAGTTAGGACTTTATATCGTTCCAACCCCGGGGGGAGTGGATATGAGTGGTCATCAAAATTCTCTTTGAGGTACTGCTTCAGGGAGCTCTTCTCAGAGTGGTTAATCTTCCCGAGTCATTTGTACGAATATAGATTTCAATGAGCTCCGATCCACACATCCTCATTTCCAGCACTTAATCTTTGGTCGTCAATTCTCTCAGATCTGTAACAGAAGAGTAACGTTTTCATACGGCCGATTTCCACAGCTTGATCAAAGTGAAGAGATTCTATTTTGATATTTATGGAATTTAAAAGTTTGTTTTTGAGGGTGAAATAGCATCTCACTTTCGGCTTGGTCACAAGGGACATGCGAGATCTTCATTTCTGCATTCACTCTTCGTTACATGAGATATTTTACTTTCCTTTAATTCTTAGTTTAGATCTAAATTTATTTATTCTTTTGATGTTTTCCTTTTTTATGCCTCTGAATTTCATCTTCATACCCAAAACCTTGCGTTTATCCGATTATGAATGATAATTCATGGATTCAAATACACTGTTGCCAAATGACTTCATGGTTATTTATCCTTGTGTTGTTATGGAACTTACATAAGCCCGGTTTTATCTAAGATGGACGTTGCGATGGGGGTCTCTCTCCATCTACTTATCCCTCTCTACCTCCCCCCCCCTCCCCACCACCATGCCTATGCCCAGAACACGCTTTTGGTTTCTTCTTTTTTCGGACTACTTTTCTCTGAGTTTTGGAAAGTGATGGCCTTGGTGCACTTCCGAGAGTCCAGGTTTTAATTTTTGATTCAAGCTGCTGCATAATAAGTAGCAACTAATGACGTTTGTCTGTGACTTTTTGAAACTTTGCTCTCCCACTACAATGTGAATTGGAAACACTACTGGTGTCTAAGTTGCACTTATTTCTTTGACATGTATCCGTAATCAGGTTTTTCATGAATTAAAGAATGAATAAAAGGAAACGTGTCGACACAAAAGCGTTCATATAGTGCTGGGAAAAAGCAAGACAGATAGACAAAAACAACAAGGGGGAAAAAAAGAAGTATGACTTACAAGTAGAGCCCTTCAACCACCCACTTCAATTTTTTTTGGTGGTAATTCATTTGCAGGAAAGAGCTTATTAGAAATAAAGTGGGTATAATGTCTTGTCATTGGTTAAACATACTACCACGAATTATGAATCTTGAAGATAATTTAAGGCTATTTTTCTTTGGTCATTTTTGTATTTCCATTTATATGAGTGTAGAACTCTGCATATTTTACGTTGACATACTTGTAGACTCTATCGACTTTTTTCACAGGATATGCCGTACCTTATTCTGAGTTCCGAAGTTGGCGTTCGACCACTACCAATGTTATAAAAGGAAATAATTATGAGGGCTTGGGAGACCTTGGTCAGAACCGTCTCCCTTGGGTTTTCTCTCCTGCCCAGTGAAATAGGAAACGTATTGATTGGCAAGCCAGGTAGATCTACAGTACTGCTCTGACCGGAGGTATCAGCGCGCTTACTGAGCGCGGACATACTGGAGTACGATGCCAGCCAGCCATACTTGAACAAAGAAAAGTATGCACAACTTCCTACCCCCCCTTTTCACACACAAACACACATACACACACACACACACAAAATACACACACACGCACTCATCCATTCATCTGTGACACACATGTGAACAGATGCTTAAACGTGTAACAAGGAATATTATGGATGCATACACAAATATATATACACACACAAACACTCTCACACAAACACACACACACACACACTCAAACACACACACACACACACAAACACACACACACACAAACACACACACACACAATACACATTTACGAGCACTTTATGTGCCTTGTTTCCTCACTTTGTGCAGTATCTTCCTTATTCTCCAAAACGTTTCTTAATTTTTTCTGATTAAAAAAAAACTTCCCCTGCAACCCGAAAATCCAAGAAAGAGCTAATTTTGTCAGAAAGCCTCACGAACAATACTTATAATCCCCCCTCCCCTTTCCCCCCACCAAAAAAAAAGAAAAAAACCCCGAACCTTTCGTGTAAAGGACGGAAAGTCTGACATATTGTGTTGACGACGGTCTATTACTCAAATTGATAGCAGGTCATTAGGAGATCATAGCTCTGAGGACTGGCAACGGGTCCCCTTCTCGACAACAGACAACACAGGAGTGTGTCCCTACACGTGTCTAGCACGCGACCTGCCACACCCCACGCACCGGACAGACCTTGGCATTTGGGGGCTGATTTAAGTCCAAGATTTGTACGCCGATAGTTGGGAGTTGGAGGGCGCCATTGGTAGGTACTACTTCTTCTTTACTTTCTCAAAGATTTGTTCGCGGGTGGTTGTATTAATGTATTATGAATCTTGAAGATATTTAAACTGGTAGATACTTCATAATGTACTTCTTTACTTTCTCATTCTTTATTTTCTCAAAGATTTGTGCGCGGATAGTTGGGAGTTGGAGGGCGTCATTTGTAGGTACTATTTCTTCTTTACTTTCTCAAAGAGTTGTTCGCGGGGGTTGTAAGGTGCCGCTGGTCGGTACTCTATGTACTTCTTTACTTTCTGATTCTTTCTTTTTCTCTCAAAGATGTGTAATCTACGCGTCTGATTGGAGTTGGAGGGCGTTACTGGTTGGTACTACTTCTTTTTTTCTCTCAAAGATTAATTCGCGGGTGGTTGTAAGGCGCCACTGAAAGGTACTACTTCTTTATTTTCTTATTATGTTCTTTCTCAAAAATTTGCTCAAGGCTAGTTTTGAGGGGGATGGGTCACTGGTAGGTACTACTTCTTCGCTTTCCCTCCTTTGTTTCTGTCTGTCTGTCTGTCTTACTTTTTTCTCACCATTAAATGACCATTAATGCGTCGATGTCTTCACTCAAACAAACAAACAAACAAAAGGATTTGTAACGTCCACTGCCATTCGGCTGTTGTGGCTCAGCTGGTTTCAGACTTGACCAGCCTCCAATATTCCAGCTGTAAATCCAAGCAGGTTCCAACATTTTCTTGACATTCCGGGACAATTCTTTCACCTTTTCGACTCATATTGATGGATCTATTACTGGTACTGACGGTTGAAAAAGGAGCATACTTCAAGAAGCATACTACTGTACGTGTATCTAGAAGGGTGTTAAACTTCTTTGAAACTATAGCAGTGGCTAACAGAAGACCTTTTTTAAGAAAGAGTTTTACGCAATTGCAATACAATAAGGTCATAGAAGTGCCAAAGATTAGAGGTGATACAAGAGAGTAACAAACTTAAACAAGGAGGAAGGGAGATTAGGACGATAGAGCTCTTGGTCTCCCCTCTTCTCCCACATCCTCTCTCTCTCTCTCTCTCTCTCTCTCTCTCTCTCTCTCTCTCTCTCTCTCTCTCTCTCTCTCTCTCCCCTCTCTCTCTTTCTCTTTCTTTCTCCCTCTCTTTCTGTCTCATGAGTTTGTCTGTCTCGTAAATTGTGGACTGTTGTTGTTGTTGTTGTTATTGGTGTTCCCCTAATCTAATTTCGTATCTAACTGACTATCTACTTCCTGGAATAGTAATATTCGTGTGGC